GCTATTTAGCACAGCAATGTTTGTTGGTGACAGGGACAGTGGGATCAAGCACACCGTCAGCGAGTTCCCTGATGACACCAGGCTGTGTGCAGCAGGTGACATGCTGGAAGGAAGGGATACCATCCTGAGTGACCTTGGCAGATTGGAGAGGTGGGACTGTGTGAACATTATAAAGTCCAACAAGAGCAAATGAAAGGTCTTAAATGTGAGTCAGGGCAATCCCAAGCACAAATACAGTCTGGATGAAGAACATCCCTGAGGAGAAGGACTTGGAGATGCTGGTGGATGAGGAGTTGGACATGAGCCAGATGTGCACTCTCAATCCAGGAAACCAAACCTGTCCTGAGCTATGTCAAAAGCAGAAGGGTGGGCAGGAGATGATTCTCCCCCTCTATTCAACTCTTCACCTGGAGCACTAGGTCAAGTTCTTGGGATTCCAGCATAAGAAGGATGTTGATCTGCTAGAGAGAGTCCAGAGAACAATCCCGAAAGATGATCAGAGGGATGAAGACAGGTTGAGAGAGTTGGGGCTGTTCAGTGTAGAGAAGAGAAGGGCTCAGGGACACCTTATATGAGCTACCCAGTACCCATAGAGGCCTGCAAAAAAGCTGGAGAGGCTTTTTGTGAAGACATTTAGTGATAGGACAAGGGATACTGGCTTTAAATTGAAGGATGTTAAATTTAGATTGGATGTAAGAAAGAAATTCTTTAGTATAAGGCTAATGAGACAGACTTTAAATTTTCCCAGAGAAGCTGTCTGCTGTCATGCCCTGTCCTGGGAATGGTCAAGGCCAAATAGGCTGGGGCCTTGAGTGGAAGGTGTCCCTAGCCATAGCAAGGGGTTGGAAACAGGATGGTCTTTAACCCCCCCTTTCATAACAGGCCATTCTATAATACTATGATCATGTTGGTTTTTTACTTTTTAGTAGCCAACAGGAGGAAAAGCACTTTCAGTCACATGCCAGTCTCTCTTTTCAGCTGGTGCTTTTCTAGCTCTTTTTGAAAGAAAATATAGTTACAGTGTTGTGCTATTTTGTCCCACTGAACTGAGAGAGTTTCAGTGACAAAGTTACAAGTTCTCAAGAACTCACTCTTCTAAGGATTGCACCACAATTCCATATGCCCCTTGAAAAGAGCAAATTCACTTCTGAAGAGGCCACACTAAAATCCTATTCATCCTAAAGGAAATAAATTGAAAATGCAGTGGAAAATAATGATTGAATTTTTCAAGTTCTAATAATTCAAAGAGTAAATAACTTATGATGTAGAAAATAAGTTTATAATACATACTTAGGAGTCAGAATCTGGAAAATATATGCTTTTAGCAGAGGAATAGTAAAAGACAAATAAAAGCTATGTCAGTTTTGCTGAATGAAAATCTAGAAAGAATTAACCTAAATATACAGCTGTCTCTCAGTAGCTATTTCAGATGAAAGCATATGGATTCTTCTATTCTCTTAACATGCTTTGTGCATACTAGGGGTTCTACATTCCCTGCCCAAAGCATGAGCTTTTAGGGAAGCATGAGTTTTGTACTGGTCCCATACGTGATGAAGTTTCACCCAGAAAAATATCAGCTGCAAAAATAAGAAAATTTTAAGACAGGAAAAGACTTGTCTAGTTTAGAGACTAAAATTTACTCCTTAGTGTTTTCATTTTGAAAAATGTGTCTTGCACAATTTGGAAAAGCTCAAAGTATAAATTGCCACAAAACCTGAAAACTATTTCAATAGAACTGCTCTCAGAAATTTCAGTTTAGATGGCCCGTGTTCCTATATGGGCCATCACATAGTCAGAGACTGTAGGTTTAAGGTCTCTAGAAAAAGCTGATGGATTCTAAAGGTCACTAAATTTAGATAGCTTATCAGTGATGCATGGGATTAATAGCAACAGTGTAATTTTTCCAACAGGAAAATTTTCTTCTGGGGGAGTAGATTTCCTTTTTTAAGCTCAAAAAGAAGGATGTGGAGCTAAAATCTCCCATGTAACTAGATTCTTAATAAAAAAACCATTAGAACTACCTTTGATGGCTGTCAGAACATCATTCTCATCTGCACATTGCTGTAGTCAGCTTGGCTGTTCTTAACTGTAACTCAAAATTACTGTCTGGTAAGATTTTGATTCATGAGGATACTGTGAAGCTCAAGAGAGCACAATACATGTACTGGTTATTCCAAGGAAATGAGTTTTTCTGAGCTGGGAGCCCAGCAGTGGATTTTTGAAAGTACAACCTATGAAGACCAACATTTCTGTCACTTTGCTGCTGCTCCTACTTGTCTGCAAAACTCTGTTATAGCGAAGTCACCATCTTAATTCCTTGTCCCAGTGCAGACAAAAGTGATGGCAGAAGACATAACTGCTACATCAAAGGCAGGCATGCTCTGCCCATGTCAATGTACTCACTGAACCGAGCATCGCTCGTGCTCACTCCTTCAGCACCGCTTTCATTTTTTTTGAAAAATAACATATTGATTTTATTTTCTTCCAAGAAAAAAAAAAAAAAAATTCTGAGCGTGGTTACCAGAGAACAGAATGATAACTTTTCTACTTATTGAATGTAAAAATATTTTTTGCTCTTTGAAAAATAGTACTATTCAGAAGCTGTCATACTTAAATTCACAATTGTGCATATTAGAGCATTTTTCAGATGTTATGTTATTTGAATGAATTTTTAGGCTCTCCTTTAAAAAATAATTTTGCCTAATATATGTAATTTATCTAAACTTTAAAAAATTGTATGTTTTAGTATTAATTAGAATTATCTGGCTATAAACTGGGTGAATGCATCCTCTACAAAGAGAAGGGTAACTTTTTTAATAGTTTTTCTCCCATGATGTGGATGAATCTGAGAAATACAGTCAAAGTGATCTAACAATAGGTGATCTTTTACAGGGCTTATTTTCTTGGCCATAAGACAGTGCAATATATTCAGAGTATTTTGTAAAGAAGACATTTATTTTGAGCCAAAGAACCCATGTTGTTTGGCACCACAGTGTTCACTTATATCTGGTTTGAAATTTTGACAGTTTACAGAGAAGATACAGTGTGAATTTTCAATGCATTAAATTAACTACATTGATTTATTTATCACTTTAACAAAAAACAAAAGATTAATTGGTTTTATGTACCATTGTATCATTTTTTGTCATTGCTGTTTAAAGTAGATAACCAGAGGCTAATAGACATTAATGGTCTCCTTCATTACTAAAAAAATCAATGTTTCTTGGATATGGAATATATTATTGCATTATTTTGCTTAAAAGTGTTTGTTTACTGCATTCATCAGTTCTCTCTGTTTTGAGACTTCTTGAAATCTTGAAATCTTTCTTGAAATTTCATACCAAATTTGATAAATATTTTCTGTGCAAATTAACTTTGGACTCCAAGAAAATGGGATGTTTCTACTTGTAAGAGAAACAGATATAAACTATCTTGGGTTTCCTGGCATATTTTTTTTTCTTCTTTTGTTTGTTTGTTTGTTGGTTTGGTTTTTGTTGGATTTTGGTTTTTTTTAAAAAGATTATTTTATGTATATATGTGTATCTTTAAGGGCCACATCATCTAAATTACCTTTCCACAGCTTTTATATATTACTCTCAAACTTGTTGGAGAGTAGTTAGATTTTCAAATGCAAGTAATTAAAATTGTAAGCTATTGAGTTATTGATGAATACTGAGCTATTAATCAAGCTAAAAAATTCTACAATCAGGGTTCAGTGCTCTGAAGCACTGTAAAATAATAGTATTTGTGTTCAGTGATGCAAGTAGCCACAATTAAGCAGTTCACTTGACAAATGAGATAGTTCACTTTATTTTGCACTTAATTGAATTGTACATGCCTGGTCACCATTGTCTCTTTCCCTTTAGTTTTGGTTTCTAGCCATTTAAACACATACATTTATTAAAGAGAGAGCAATTAAGTTGTGTTGGCCATTGGCTCTGGAAACACAGACACCAAGAGTTAAAATGTTGTGTAGGGTAAAAATCATTATTATCCCTCCAGAAAAAAAAAATAAAAAAATCTTAATTTTCTTAGCAAAAAGTCTGATAAACATTTAGGACTCTGCTACTAAATTAAAACAAATGTGAAATGGAAAACAACCCCCTGTAGGTTGTTGATATTAAACCACTTTTACCAAACAGAAATATATAGACATGGTTTCTTGGCATTTTATTTTAGTTAGCATTTCAGCAGACATTTCAGCCTCACATTGCTGTCTTGTAGCCTTTTTTTTTTCTGTGTTTGCAGTCTACTTTTTATGATTCTGAATTTGTAACCTATCAGTCAGTTTTGTGTGTTTGTTTGTCATGTTTACTTTTAACAAGATGTGTTTTTGAAAACCTGAGTTCTAGGTTTCCTTTCAAGATCCCCCAAAAAAGGCATTTTCAATCTAGATGAGAGAAAAATGTTAATAAAATGCAAAGATTTTCAACAGAAAGAGGAGAACAGAAAGATAATTGTAATACTGTAATCACTTTTTCAAAGTCTCTTATTGAAATAAGTGATCTCTGAGCACCTCCAAAACAATACGAGGAGTGTAATTGTGAATAGCTACAGAATACAACTAGGATATACACACAACCATCAGACATACATTTGTAAGTAAGACTGAAGCTGGCACCAACAGACAGAGGATTTTATGAGTCCCTCGGCCCCAGCGTGTGTGGATTTTTATTTTTTGTTTTTTTGACTAAGGAGTACCGTGTTGAGTTTGAGAGAATTAAGGCAGGCGTATGATGAGCAGTGCAGCCTCACTAGTTTTCTGAATGATGGTTTGTGGGCCCCGCAGACTCTCAGCTAATTCCTGCCCAAGAATTCCGCGTTTGTTAGAGAGGCTTTAGTGAAGTTTTGGGTATGTGTTTCCCAGGAAAGGCCCAGAGATGTGCACCCACGGTTCTCTTTGAAAATTACTGGCAAGATGAGGAGCTCCCTTCCGTGTGGTTTGCTGCTCATGCCGGCAGAAAGCGCTGATGGAGTGCTGTTTCTCCTTCCCACTGCAGGCCCTACCAGTGCGGTCACTGCTCCCAGTCCTTCTCCCAGCCCTCGGAGCTGAGGAACCACGTCGTCACACACTCCAGCGACAGGCCTTTCAAGTGTGGCTACTGCGGGCGCGCCTTTGCTGGGGCCACCACACTCAACAATCACATCCGGACACACACTGGGGAAAAGCCCTTCAAGTAAGTACTCCAAGCTAGCAGCTTTTGCCAGCTGAGATTAGAGAGGGAAATGCATTGCTGCTGCTCACCAGCATCACCAGCACTCGGCAGAGGTTCCCTTGAAGGACAAGGTCAGACCACGAGGTAAAACAGATAGTGGTGCTGTTAAAATAAAAACTTGTGCAGGTTTGATTTGGGGTTTCTTGAAAGCCTTGCATAATTTTCTGTTCTCTAATGATACCTTGATTGTTTAATTAATTGGCAAGCTGCTGCAGGGGAACCACAGCTGAAAATGTGATCAAGACTGAGACAGGCTGTGCTGTAAGAACATGAATATGATTCTTTGATATCTATATGCTGAGGTAGATGGAGCTTCACTTAAAAGCTAATTTGGCTCTAGTTATATATGGGGGGGAAATAAGCACCTTCTTTTAGTCTCAGAATCACTGGATAGAAAACGTAACTCTGATTTGTGGCATAAGTTTTGAAAGATCATAGTAATAAATTGATAGTGTTCAGCTGTCCAAGATACAAGAAAAAAAATGTCACCTAATAAAAAAGATTTTACATTAAACAGTCTTTGTTAATTTCTGAAATTTTTAATTACTGTTATTAAATCTAAGTACGTACTTGCCTCAGGAATCTTCCAGCAGTGCTCATTTCCAATCATAGTACCACTGATCAAGGTATATTTTACCTTCTGTCATGTAAGACTCTGCCTACATAACAGGAAATGTTCTCCAAAGCAGAGGAAATATATCCCATACTTGTGTCTTTGTCTTGGCTGAACTGACAGACGCTCAGAATATATATATGTGGTCACTGGAGCAATTCCACCTAATGTATTGATACCACTTCTTTTGGAAGCCTCCTGCATGTTCCTGGGAGGAAGGGGAATAAGTGTAGAAGCAGGTTTGTGTCTCTCCCAGTTCTCTGAGTACTGTCTGTTCTCTGTCTACTTTTCTCTGTTTGTCTTTTTTTTTCCTACTTTTGCCAAACTGTGCTTTTGATCTGGTTATTGTTAGAGAGCTCAGCCATGGGGCCTGTCAGAGCCCCTCATAACAAGCCCGACAGAGATACTGGTGAGCATGCTTTGCCTCCATATAAGGGTGGAAGGAAGCATGGCCTCCACACATGTCTTTGCCGGGGGCAAGGGGACAGAGCCAGCAACAAAATGCTGCATATCCAGTACAGAAGGACTTGCATAGCAGAAATCATGTCTAGGATAGTGTTGTAGGAGGCAAAACATGGAAACTCAGAACATCTGAATATCGACCTCTCTTGAGCCAGTCTGTTGAATGCTCAGAGCCTACAGAAAGTGAGCCAAAAATGGTGTGAGCAATCAGATTGATTTTATCTAGTTGCTGTGTAAATAGATTTTAGTAATTAATGGAAGAGGCTTCCAGGTCAAAATGGAAAATAGATTTCGTTTAATGTTAAGGTGTTACTTATGTGTAACCTTGTTGACTCCACTTAATTTTTTTCCTTAACATCCTGTTTTTGTCATGTTTCCAATAGGTCTGCTATTTTGCCCCATTTAGAGTCATTATTTTTCCCTTTCAGTTTACTAATTTTTTTACCCTCTCCCAAAATGGGCTTGATTAAAGCACAATTTCATTTGTGAAAGAGCTTAATACAACTAACCAGAGGTCTGGGATTTGTTTGTTTGGGGTTTTTTGGTTGGTTTTTTTTTGTTTTGTTTTGTTTGTTTTGTCTTACTCATGTGGGAGTGTTTAAGTATTATTCCAGGACGTATCTGACTATTCCTTAAGTTGCAGGACAGAGAAACAACAACAAAAAAAAAGTCTGTGTTTTGTACTGGTTCTTTATGATGCATGGCATAATTTCAATTGTGCAAGATGTTTCTTTAGTGTCTTCCTTAAGCACAAAAAACAGTAGCACCATTTCTCTCGGGATAGCTTGTTGAAGAATTTGCAGTAAGCTGACTGGTGACTTGACGTGGCGCTAAAACTGGAGCTGCAGATCTTCCCATCCCTGCTAGTCAGATAAGAGGGCACAAAATTCCTTGATCCTGCAAGCTGTTCAGAAGGGCAGATTTGTCTCTCGTGCAGGACTGCTTGCATTTGAGAGAGGAGGGGTGGAAAACTTATCCAGAAATCAATCTATTATCTCTGCTGGAGGGAAAAGAGAGAGTTGCAGCTCATCTTGATGTCTCATCACTGTTTAGTTCCTCCTTTGGAAAAGGGGTGCACAAGATCTGGTATTAAGAAATTTTGTAAAAAAACCCTCAACAAATTCTATTAAGCAAGAACCATAAATAGAACAAACAAAATTTCTATCTCTTGATCATGCAATTTAGGTTTAAATTTTTTTTTTATAAGGAATTTTGAGTATATAGTTACAAAGGAAAAAAAATACAAGATGGAAAAGCCCGCTGAGATAGTGTTTCTGTACCTCAGAGAAGTTTGTATTTGTGGTGAAGTACACATTTCTTTTAACTAGTATTTTTACTAGTATTTTATTTTATTCAGAAAGAATTGCCATGCATGGATAGAAATAACTTACTTAAATTCTAGCTAAGTTATTTTAAAAATAACATGTATAATTTTGAAGGTGATACTAAGTTCAGTTTTAAATGTGCTTCTGCTGTGAATGAAATCTCATGATTTCTAATTCAGTAAGGCAGCTATGTTATAAGCAATGTCAAACACTAAGTATGTTTATATGCATATTATTTCTAGAAGTTGGTTTTAAAAATGGTGAGCATATGGTGACAGTATGTTAAAAAATATTTCAGATTAATAGTTTTGTAAGAGGGCATTTGGGATTGGTTAGAAAGCTTTTCTGTGAGAGGGCATTTTCTTTGTAGGTCCTAGGTAGCTTTGGATGCATGGTGGAAGACTTTTCTATTTGCTTTTCATTAAGATAACAATGCTAAGTGAGGTTATCTGTAGGCAAAGCTTTAGCTGAATTTGACTTTTCATGTCATCACAAGCTATCAAGCCAGCCTCACCACTGTAAAGTTTTTGTGTATTCTTATCTTACTGAAGTCTCCACTATGGCTGCTAGTCTGGGAACAAAGCTCTTAAGTAAATTAAAATGCAGGAGAAAAAGGAAAATTATTTGTCGCCTCCATTCTCTTAATTTTTTCTCACCCCCTCCCTGTTTCCATTTCAGCAGAATTAAAAAATTGTGAGGGGAGTTGCCTGCAGAATCAGGGTTAAAGAAAGATCTAATATTTAGGAGTCAAAGATTCTTTCAGCCTGCAATAGCTCATGTTTTTTACATTATTTCCTACTGAAATGCAGAGCTGGGTAGCATTAATTTTAGGCTGAATATGTATGTTGTACCTGCACTGACATCTCAGAGTGATTAAGAGGGATCATTTTTAGTTGATAATTTTTCTTGGATTTTTGATACCCTTCCAAAGGAGTTTAAAATGCAGTGTTAAATGTACTTGTTGAATGAAATCTTAAAATGTTTGAGAGTATTAATCTGACATCAGATCAATACTTTGAAATTAAAGAGATTTTAGGGAAAATACTTTTTCTCTAAAGTAGACCCTCAGCATTTTCTCCGTCCGAAGCCTTTCACAGAGGTTGACATAAGTGTGCAAATTAAACCAATCCTCTCTATAATCCTCACTCTCGATGTTTTGAAAGCACTGTGAGGTAAACAAACAGACCAGTAGAAATGAGGGCTATCTAAACAAAATCAGAAACCCCAGTACTGTAGACATATCCCAACAATATTGGTGCACCTTGTGAACTTAAGAACAATTCTGTTTTCCTCCTCCACCCAAGCAAATCATACCAGGAAACCAGAGATTGAATGCTATAGTATATTTCTCCTTACAGTTACAGTGTACTCATTGTGTACATTGTATACTGTGTACACATTGTGAAAGAAGATAACATGGATCCTGTTTTCACTGATGGTATCTAATTGTTTGAGGATTTTGGCATTGCTTTGGACCTATATGCATCTGGGGCTGTTTAAATTCCATTCAAATGCCATCAGATGGCCCTAAGTGGAAATTAATGTTGTATCAGTTAATAAGTGTCATTATTGCCAGTATCTACAATGCAGGCTTAGCCAAAATTTGGTATGTCTAACATTCAGGCTTGGGCTCAGCCCTGTGGTTGCTCAGTGTCACATAAGGTAGGAGCTCTTTTTCCTTTCTGATGATTTTGACTACTGTTCAACTTTCCAACACAACATTAAACATGTATGGGTTATGGTACAGGAATATGCACACAAGAACACACACATGCTCACCAATCTTATGGACAATCTCATGGAGCACTTATGGGAGAAGTTTTTCTGCTATGATGGGCTGGGAAAGAATGGTTCATAGAGGGAGAGACTGCATAAAAGAACATCACAATCCAGAAGAAAAATATTCCTGCCCTTCCTCCCATTCCTACCTACTGTGAGACAGTAATGCTGACTGCTGTGACACTATTATCTTCACCTTTTCTATCAGTTTGTATCCAGCAACAACTTCTCTGGACCACATTGAAAAGAGGAATCAGGAGCCTAATACAGATCTCTGCCCATAAGCCAGGTACTTATATATCCAAAACTATGGTCCTGAAAGCACCATCCACATCATTTGGAAGTGCCTAGAAAATCCTAGGCACCTTGGATACTATCTGAAGGTTATCCAGGTACAAGAGAAAGACAGGGGAACCAAGTGCCTTGCCAGATGTTTATTCTGACTTTTGCCCAAAGGCTGTGAAAGTGCAGACATTGCAGTTTGACCAGCAGCAATGCTTGGCACCTGCAGCCTTCCTCTTCATAACGGGTATATGCTAGTATAGAGAGATTTGTCCTTTTTCTCTTCTCTCTTTAGCACCCTTCTTTCCTGTGCCTTTATGTTAGTGTATCAGCCTGTAGCTGGGAAGGTAGAGAACTTCCACAACAGAAGGCTCTTGTGGATAAAGGATGGAAAGTTGTATTTTAAAGAAATGTGATAAACCTTGCTCTATACTTTCACTAGCAATATATCCATATATAAGGTGCTGAGTGAATGCCTGCCCTATTCTAGCCTCTCAGACAAGCTCCAGGACGGGTAAGGAGGCCTGCCACAGCAAATTATTTTAATGGGTAACACTGTCTTTGGGTCATTCTGTAGCCTTTATCTAAGTCACTAATGGTGTCTAGGCATCCTGTCACCCTGAATTTCGTTTACTTGGCCCGGCTCTTAAAATCAGGGATTGCCACACCTGATTTTATAGGTTATCTTGCAACAGTATCACTTACAGCTTAGTTAGGCAAGGATCCAAGCCTCCTATTACTCATCAAGCAAAGTACTTGTCTTTGTAGACATCAAAATAACAAAACTATCAAGTTCAAGTAGATAGTAATATCTCATACAGACTAAGTTAACCCCCCCACCATAAAATTGATTGTAATGCCTCTGTGATAGATATATATGTATGTATATAAAAATAATACAATAATTTGCAAGTTTGTCAGGCAATGAAAGGTAGTATATTTTGACACACTAATCCAGTAAGTAATCAGTTTTCTAATAAACAATCAGCAGTGCACTAATGTGTCATCAGCACTTCAGGAGCTCTGGAGAGTGGATGATCTGCACATAGACGTTAATGAATACCCCAAAAATCATTAAGTAATCAATACTTCTGAGTTATTTTCATTGAGCTGATAGGTCTGATACATTAAAGCTGACATTTTACATTTGTCAAGATCACAGTGCAGTTTTTAACAGTGGCATAGGATGCTAAAAATATTCCATGAAAGACAATCAAGGAAATACAACTTAAAAAGTGTTGACATATTAGATTGGTACAGTAACCTGGATGAATTACTC